TTGAAGTCGATTGACCGTCTATAACCCGATTTGAATTCAATTAAAAATTGGATAATTAACATGAATTGTATACGCTTTCTGTAGTTCTGTACTAGTTTCTTAGTTATAAAAAAAACTAACTGTCAGAAGCTTTCAAAAAACTAACAGTCTTTTAATGTATTTTTGCTGAGTTTAAAAAAAAAATCTTTGACCGTCCAATTATTTATAAATAACCGTTTAAAGTTCACCAATTTGTACAAAAGTAAACATACTAGTGAGTCAGATAAAAACAACTTGGCAACGCTGTATAGATATTATTTGCTCTTTAAATTCAAACAGACTGATTCAGTCTCCAATATCTATTGGTTGCGCATAAGCGCCGTTGCCGGATTAAAACTTAGGTAAATATGTGAAAGTATTACGTATAGGTAACGTCTCCAAGGGTACAGTCTTGTGAAAAAATTATGAATCACTTAGCTACAGACTCGTATACTTTTACGGTGCGTATAATCTAAAAATTTTTGACAATATTGTACCACTACAACTACCTTAAAGATAAAATGTTGTATGCCATGCGGCTGAGAAGTGTCTTTTTGTACTTCGCAAACAAACAGCAGCCTGATAACATAAATAACTATTATGACAATATACAATTCAAAATAATTTTAAATGCTACTCCAAGCCATAAGACGCAATAAGTCAAAATCTATAAATTAAATAAAAAAAAATTTTTACCAAGATTTATCTTCTAAAATTTAATCTTTATTTTTGCCTAGGCTTTAAAAATAATTTAGATCAATTGGGTAAGGTTTTTTCTTTCTATCTGTAAAAAACCTGTTTGGACCAATCAAAAAATTTGACTACTTTCAGATCTATTTAACCTACTTTTAATAATTATTATAATAATTATCTATAGATTATCTATAGATATTATAATTGTACGTTTTATAAATCGTTTAATGAATAAAATTATGCCTTAAGATAAAATGTTGTATGCCATGCGGCTGAGAAGTGTCTTTTTGTACTTCGCAAACAAACTGCAGCCTGATAACATAAATAACTTTTATAACAATATACGATTCACAATAGTTTTAAAAGCTTCTCCAAGCCGCAATAAGCCGAAATCTATAAATTAAATCAAAAATGCTACACTTTCTTTGATCCAATTAAAGTCATGCAAATAAAGAAGGAACATAGAAATAGCAAATTGCAATTTAATTACAATTTAAATATAGTGTCACTTTACTTTTGCTTTCCCCTGTACCGCAGAGTTTAACATATGATATCTCCGTTAAAGGGTGTTAAACCTTTTCAATTATACAGCCGGCTTATAAATGGGACGGGGGAAAATCGTCCTTAAATTGTCCTTGCCAAAGGATCACGTGTACTCGCATACGTATAGTCAATGGCCAAACCAGCATGTATTATGGCCGGCCGAATTTATTCCCGTTCCTGGGGTTATCCCCGGGATGTTTTAATATTCACGGTGGACCAAAATGTGGAACTTAGACGTTACTACAATTTTAGATTTTCATAAAAATGTTAAAAACAAAAATGTAAAGTGTGAGTTTAACAAAAAAATATTATTACAACTTTTTTCAGACGAAACATAGTTAACAGTTAAAATTATCTTCCTAAAATCTGAATACAGCATAGTAATATTTTCTTAGAACGATATAAAACTGTCTAATCTAGATATAACTGTCTTAACAGTTATTTATAGCTACCGTTTACATTTTTAAAATTTAGTTTAAGACAGTTATATTTTGCTTAAACTAATTTTTTCTAGGCTGAAAACATGAAATAAATACAAAAATAATTTTTCGTTGTGTTATAATTTTTAAATAAGACATTTTTTCCTGCTGGATTGTTAAAAAAATATTTAAATCTAATCACTTATTTATTATTATCATTTATTTTACCCACCGTGATATTATTCCCTGATATTCCCGTCGACGACGAACGCCAATGACAAGAATATCGATTAATTTTGCAGGCATTGTAATGTGTTCGGTCGGTATGTCTATTATAATAGTATTATTATGTATAAAAACGGCTTTGTCAGTTCTGTGATAATAGTGAGGCAAAAGAGAAAATATACTTTTAAAAGTAGGCTTTTTACTTTATTTATATATTATGCCGAAATGTCAAGGTTTATAAGAAAATATAATATTTTTTTAAATTTTCCTAGGTACTTCTAATTTAAAGGCTAAAGACTTTATTTTGATCTATAGACTGTTTATTTTGATCACCAAGAAGAAATCTTTACTTTCTTTAAAAGAATATCTTTATATAAAGCAATAAGCCAATCAGAGCTTGGCCTTCCCTATCGCCCCTTTTGTGCTGTGGAGAATACCGTGCTCCGATTGGTTTGTTGTTGTTGTTTTCTATATGCAGAGATCATTTTTTATGGAAACTGAAGTCGCAATTTCAAGACCTAAATTTCAGTTTGAAACAACATCATAATTTTTGTCTTCCATTGTACATACATGTGTAAACATAAAAAATTTGTTTTACCCCCACCTTCAAAACGCCATGTTTCCATGACCATGACCTTTTAAATACACATTGACAAGTTGTGGCTTTATGGCGCTTTAGTCACGGGCTGAAGTTAGCAACAGGTTTTTAGTCACGGGCTGAAGTTAGTTTTAAGTTAGTTGAATGTCAACAATCATTAAAATAAATTGCCTTTCTTGTAAAATAGTACTAAATGTGAAAATTATTTTATTATCTAAATACAAAAATACAAAAGTGTTAAATAGTTTCTCAACGCCAATATATGAAAAATTTATATGAACATTGTACTGAGCTTTTAATTTTGCCGGCAGTAAACTATAACTTAAATTCGGGCACGGACTCCACTGTAAAGTGCCCATAAAACATTTTCTTTCACTGTGAAAAACTGTCAATTTTCAAGAAATACATTTCGATTTATAATTGTGTTTATAAAATATAAAAATTTGACATTTGACGGTGACACACAGATTCCCCTATTGTTTCATGGATGGCGCTCTATACAAATTTTTGATTTAAATCATTTTAAGATAATAAAAAGTATTTGTCGTAGAAAAAGTCTGTGGGTAAAAGGCATAAGGGGATAAGTCAAAAAAAGCAATTTTTCAATAGAGCCTTTAACGTGTTCGCATTAATTCAGGAAATATATTTATGTTTAGCGGGTATACGCTTTTGTTAGCATATGACATGTGCTAACGGGTATACACGCTAACCATAAATATATTTCCTGAATTAATGCGAATACGTTTAAGGCTGTACTAAAAAATTGATCATTTTGACTTATCCCCTTATGCCTTTGGCCCACAGAAGTATAGTATGCACCTCCTTTATAAACTTTTCTATACACTAATTAATTTAAGCACTCCCTCGCAAGCTCGCTTGTGCCTAAATTAAATTCTTGTATAAAATGGCGTTTATCAAACTTGATAATATACTATAATGTATACATTGTACATGTATACTTTAAAAATTTTATTTCATATTCTCAAATCTGACGGATTAATGCTGAGCCTATCTGATGCATAATATTAAGGGCCTAAAGGATTATGATTTTAAAAGGGTTGAATAAAAATGTATAAATTTTGAATGTCTAAGTAATTTTTTTAAGCGAACCTAACAATTTTCATACACTCATGTCATGAATCCAAATAGAAACTCCATATTAATATAGTTAAACGTCAAATTATTATATAACTCAGTGCAACGATGAATCTAAAATGTAATCATGTCAGTTAAGCCTAACCTAAATATGATGTGACAGAATATTAACAAATATTCTAATTAAATGCTTTAAAAAAATAGTATATTAATTGTCTCGCACACAATCTACTGCCCCGGCTAGCGCCTCAGCTGTGAAATGTATGCTTGGCTATAATTTGAACTTTCTTCAAATGGTCTATAATGTATTTTTTTTTAATTTCATACTTTAATTTGTTTATTAGATATTTAAATACACATTGACAAGCTGAAGTTAGCAGCGGGGTTTTTTATTCAAGGGATAAATTTAGCTTTCAGTTAGTTGACAGTTGTCAAATGTCATAGAATCGTCAAAACAAAGTTCCGTTCTTGTAAAATAATACTACATGTGAAAATTATTTTATTATCCCAATAAAATAGTTATTTGTTTTACAAGTGTTGAAAAGCGACTTTTTCATGCGAGTTTGCCCACGAGGCCGTTAGGCATTAACACGAGCTTGAAGAAAGATTTTCTCACAAGTATAACACAATGTTTTTTCTGCGACCCTTTTATTTTTTATTATTTTTAAATACAAAACAAAATAACCTAAAAACTTTTTTGACAGCTGAATGTCAAACGACCTGTCACAGACCTGTCACTTTTCACACAGAAATGTCACTTTACATTCGTGTTTTGCCTTGCCAATGAAAAGATTCATTGTCATTTTAAAAGCTGGTAAAATAGATTCCTAACACTAATTTTGTTTACTTTATTTTTTATAGATGTCGCTTTATACAAATATTTAAATTCATTAATTAGTAATAAATTACTAATTAGTAATAAATTATTTTTTATGCATTATATTTTTTATGTAGTAGAAAAAGTATAGTACACTGAAAGAAATATATGTTTGTTTTAGCAATGTATGTGGTTCATATATGGACTACCACATACATTGCTAAAACAAACATATATTATATTTAGTTTTAACATAATATGCTAAAACTAAATATAAAAATGGTTAAGGTAAATATATTTTATGTTTCATATATGGACTACCACATACATTGCTAAAACAAACATATATTTCTTTCAGTGTATGCATCTCGTTTATCAAATGTTCTAGACATTCATTTTTATTAAACACACGCTCCCAAACTCCGCTCGTGCCTTATTAAAATTCGTGACTAAAATGGCGTTTATTTTACTTTTATATTTTATAATACCTAAATTGAACCTTTTTTTTATTCTGTGTATTTGGTTTTCCAATTAGAACCCATTCCTCGTGATTTGATGATTGATGATTAATGGTTGTTTGTTTTATTTGCAGGGGCGTGCCATAGGAATTACAAAAGGTAAATATATGTAATGCTCTTTAGTAAAGCTTTTGGACATAATCCAGGAAACTACGCATTGTTATAGCCGGACCGAGTGAAGAAGTGAATTCTTTAATCAATGGCCAGACATTATAAATATGTAGATTATAGACAATTAATTTTATGTGCTATCTTCTTATCTAAAAACAATATTTTGTATTAAATTAAATTATTAATAATTTACCAGACATTTACTGCATTTTAACTGGCAAAATAAATGTCGACATTTCCCGGTTTTTCAGGTTTTCCAGAAAACGGCCACCCTGAAGATAATATTTGGTTGAGTTCAGATTTATAATGTATATCCAAATTTCATTATTTTAAAAAGGGTAAAGAGTCCGGCTATAACAATGCGTAGTTTCCTGGATTATGTCTAAAAGCTAACACTGTTTATTCCACCTTTAAGATTTTTTATTTTTATTGATGTTATATTTTTTGTTCAGTCATGTTTAAGCCAATCAATATTATATCGGAAGTAAAATATCTACTATAATTTATTCTCGCGGAAATTTTATGATCTGTCAGATGACAGATATATCTGTCATCAGTATTTTAAAATAAACAGCAAAAGGTTTATTTCAACATCTGAGGATTTCAAACGTTTTGTAGTGGAAAAGGATACTCTATATCGTCTATATCGTCCAAAAATAATATTTCGACTACCACTTGAGAGATCAATAAATTAGAAAATAATTCTCCAGAAAATTTCTCAAACTTGTTGTCATTCGACAATAGACACTCAAGCCCTAGGGGCTCTCGTGGCTATTGCCAGACAACAAAATATCTGTCAAATTATTTTCAATTTATTTTTACTCTCTTGTGATATTACTGTTGAAAATATTATATGCATGCATTCTTCGGTTTTGGTTCAGTTTTCTATTTTCAGCGTCAGCAGCGCCATCGGGTTCTCTTCGACCGGCTTCGTAAAACTTTACGTAAAGTACAGTCGGTAAAACACATTTCTACTATTGTCACTGTTGCAAAATCACCATATAGCAAATTAAAAGATTTGAGTATTTTATCCATAGAGAGTGACTTATTTAAAAACATAAAAACGTGTGATATTATTTATCAGTTTGCAAAAGAAAAAGCTAGGAAAATAAATGTATACGTTGCTTTTGTTTTTCGTTTACTATAAATTTTGTTTTTGTTCATATCGTTTTTTAATATTGTATGAATTTTGTTTTTGTTTAGTAACTTTTATTTTTTGTTTACTATAAAGTTTATTTTGTTCATATAGTTTTTTTAATATAAATTTTATGTTTTTATTTAGTGTAATGATAATAAATAAACTTTCTAGTTCTGAAACTTTTGTATAACTTGCATAACCCTTTCTACCAACTCCTCTTATGAAGAAGAGCGCCTCATTTTTAGTGGCCCACAGGCGCTGAATATCTTAAGACGGCCCTGTTGTTGGTTATTGGTGTTTGTGCTATTGTAAATTTAATTCCTTTAGAAGGGACTTTAAGGCCGGGGTCTCTTCCTACCCATAACCCGCATAAGCAATTCAGTTGGCGTATGGGACTTCTTATAAAGTAAGGGTGAAACTGTACTTTTGTATACAACAAATAAAACATGTATAAATCTAAAAAATACTGTCCAATTATAATTACTACACCTCAATTTGCATAGCAATAAATTTAATATAATAATAATATATAATACTAATAACTTTAAATAATAATAATTGTATTAAATTATACAATAAAAGCCAAAATCCAAATGTTATCGTTTTTATTACATGTTTATAAAGATATAATATATTAGAATAAATATTTATATAATATATTAGAATAAATGTTTATTAATAATTATTAATTATAATTAATATTATGATTTACGACAAAACACATTTTTGTGGATCCCTCAAAGCACTTTTATAATAAATTCAAGTTTTCAATCTGGCAGCGCTGGACGTTTAGGACACCAAGGACTTACTAACACTTCTACCCCCCATTCATGAATCTTAATTAAATGGGGTTATTACTAAAGCCCCGGTTGAGGAGGATTCCGGATTGTACTTAGTTTTGGGTCAGTTCAATGTCCTCCAAAAACCAACATTTACCCTCCTTGTCCGGCTCTCCACTAGCCTAAACTGGGCGTATGGCCCGACCCGGCGACAAAAACTTGGGGAGTTGCCTTAACCATCGGCATTGTCATCCACGACGTCCTAGGGTAGATCTACCAGCCAGCGTAAAAACTTCCGGATCCAACAAACACAGGTAATGCTGTACAGTGCGGGATAAGTAGGAGAACGGAAAGGGGGTAAAATAACCCTGGGAGATTAGTGTAAGGCGATGTCGATGGGGAGACGAGTTCTGCGTGTTGATTAATGCAAACAACAATATTGAAATGACTCCATGACAAGTATCCAGATTTTTGTACATAGCAAACATTTAAAAAAAAAATTTGCACTCGTACCCTTTTGCTTCTCACCTATTCATATGTATATAAAATTGTTTATATATTTTTTTAATTAAAGGTCTACATCATAGGCTTGTAGACCATTAATTTCATTCGCCAATATCTGCAAAAATGTTTTTAAAATGGACAAAAACACATCAAGCTTATAAGCTTGTATACAAGGCCAAAACTAATTTCGTTCCAGTATATTCACTGTACAGCTGTGTTTTGCACATAGCAAATGTACACCTGGGGTCCAGAAATTTGTTACAATTTATTGTTTTGTAAACAGGTACTAGAAATAACGGTCACTTATGATATGACCAAGGTCAGTCGGCAAAGTTACCCCTGTTGCTTTTAGGTAAACTTAGTAGCATCACAAAGATCGATTTCAAAATTGGCGGATTTTTCGTATTCACTGTTTGTAAAACGGTATAAACTTTAATTGGGGATTTAATTTTTTTTAAATAGTCTTAAAAACAAAGCTCGGACATTATTTAGTAGACATGTATTTTTTGGAAATATAATATAAAATAAAATACTCCCGAATATACGTTTAACGCCTCAATTTTGTAAGCACAAATCCATTTCAACAGTAAAACGGTTTCGGTTTCGTATTATCGTAATAGTTATGTCTTATATTATGAACTTGAAAATAAGTCATTTATATTTTTCGAACTTAATTTAGCATAAACTAAAACTTATCCATTAATGAAATAAACATCCTTAAAATAACTTTATCAAACTGAACCTAATATCAATAAAACAGTTTACTCATTTCATGCGCTCGCACATGAACATGATAAACAAATTAAACATTCAGAGGTTATCGTAACCAATTTAAAGTATTTATAAAAAACTTAAATGTAATTAAAAAAAATACAAAACTTATTTTAGCGCTAGGAATTTATAAACAAATCTTTAAAAAAACACTTAAAATTACTTAAATATTTAAATACCAAAAAAATGTAGCGAACAAATTGATTTTTTATACGCATTCAGAAACGCCCCATTTAAAATTAAGAGCTACTGTTATTGGCAGTTTGCACATCGTAAATATTCCACCAATGGCGTGGTTTCTGGGCAAACTAATCTTTAAATAAATAAATACAATTAATTATGTTTATTTCAAGCGTTCTATAATTAAAGCCTTCTTATTGTCAACGTTCACTACCAAAGTATTCGATTATCTGCTAAGCTGTAAAAATAATTTAGACCAATCAGGTGAAGTTTTTTTACATCCTAGTCTGTAAAAAACCCGTTATAATAAAAAAATTCGATAACTGCTGACAATTTTAAAGCTATCTAACCCCACTTTATTAATTGGTATTATCATTTAACAAATCAAATTGAGCCTTAAAGATAAAATGTTGTTTGCCATTTGATTGAGAAGTTTATTTTTCTGCTTCGCTCAATTGTTGGCCTCCACTAAAGCGTCAGACTTTAAACTTTAAGCTTAGCACAAAAAGACTCACTTCCCGCCTTATGACATAAATAACCTTTATCTACTCCTACATTGTACAGCTGTAACTTTATGGCGTTTTATTGACGGGCTGAAGTTAACAACAGTGGCTTTTCGACATTTTACGTCACGGGCTGAAGTTAGCTTTATTATAAATTGGGAAAAAGTGAGGTTAAATTCGGGTGACAGTTGACAGATGTCAAAATTTTAACAAATAAAATTGGCTTTAAATTCTGTTTTGTGTTCGTCGTAGATAAAGTATAGTATGCAACTCGTTTATAAACTTCTCTAGACACTCGTTTTTATTAAACACTCGCTCGCAAGCTTCGCTCGTGCTTAATTAAACTTGTAACTAAAATGGCGTTTATAAAACTTGATACATAATATACTATTATTTTTGGTAAACGTTAAAATAAATCTTTACTTTGGTTAACCCAAGTAGCATTTGAAGTAGCTTTGCAGATTTATTACTTAATTTAAATAAATAAGTTAACCTTAAAAACTTAATGAAGTAAAAAATCTTTTTGTGTATTTATGCATTTTTATTATGATTTTTTTTTTACTTTGAATAACATAGCAAGGGTCATTTTAATATACTACAGATCTAAATTCTTTTTACAAATAACACACCGTTTTACTGTAAAAATCACTAATAAGTCAACTTATAAGTAAACACCCGCCTTCCGCTGTCCATAAGTTTAAATTCCAATAACTTTGTTAAAAATTATCGGATCTTATTGATTTAAAAAAAAAGTGAAAGCCTAACAAGCCCTTAGTAAACTCCTTCAGAAAATGTTTGTTTAGTTATTTTATAATATATTTTTTTTAATTTTGAAACCTGTGAAACACATATTTTCCCTTGTCCCATTAGCGTTTTATAAAACTTTTTTTTTAATATTGAATAACCAGAACTTTTTGTTACTTTATAGCAATCCATAACATCCTTAGTTAATACAGTAAAGAATTAATATATAAATTAATTAATTTTAATTTACTTTTTTTAAATTTGACTCATGTCCCAGACATTTTTTCCGTTGCGTTACGTCCGTCGCGTTACCGATAAAAAAAACATATATATATGGCAACTTTTTTGGCACTCCCGTTATCAACAAAT